GCCTCACACTGGAGGTTACTGCAGAGGTGCTGTGTGTCAAAGTCACTGCACACAGGTCCGTGCAGCGCTGCGTCCAGACAGCCAGTCTCCACCTGCCAGAATTCTACGTCCAAAGTCCAGCTGGGATGCTAAAAGCAAATTACCAATATACCCGGAAGTTATGTTAGACATCACATATTCTAATCTCTACAGGACACAGAAAAAGGAAAGAAGAAAAGAAGGTGGGGAGAGAGAGAAAAATACCCACTTTATAGCATCCTTTAAAAATGGCAAATAAAAAACAGCTAAAGTAGGTCTAGACCATGGGTCCTCATGGGTCCTCAAATAGCAAGCCCTCCCAGGGACCTTGAGCAATGTCTAGACACTTTTTATTGCCATGAGTGGAAAGGTGCTTACTTCATCTAGTGGGCAGAGGCTAGGGATGCTGCTGAACATCTTATAATGCACAGGACAGCAATCACAACAAAAAATTATCTGGATCAAAAATATGTATATATATAGTGAAGAGTGCTGAGATTAGAAGGCCCTTGTCCAGAAGAAGGGATAGAAAAACCTAACTTGGTCCTGCCCCAGTTCTGCTGTTTAGGAGCTGTGTCCCCGAACAAATCTCTAAGCCTGGCTCCTCTGTAAAAGTTATGTATTCATTCATCTGTTGATTGATTGATTGACTCATTCATTCATTCATTCATTCATTCATTCATTCACTTAACAGATATTTTCCAGGAAATGGAAATAAACAGCAAAGAACAAGACCTGGTCTAACCCCAGAAAGTGGTGAAAATTAAATAAGAAAATGAGTATAAAAAGCTCTTTATAATTTTGGGGTACACAACAGACCCAAGGCAGAAGCACTGATTTGTAAATAACACGAGGTGATGCATATCAGTGCTCACTTTCTAGTTATTTATTGTCTTTCATCTACTCTGAGAAGTATAGACTTTTTCATATTTTAACTTCTCTGAATTCAGTGTGTGTACATTAAAATGAAGTGCTTCACAGTCACCACCAGCCAGGTGGCAGTCACGCCCCCAGGAATCACTGTAGTCAGGTGGTGATTACCTGAGTACAAACTTGGTCAGTGGCATGAACCCCTGGTGGCACAAAAACTGAGATAGAATAGGGAATTAGAGTTACCAGGGTTATGGCATTGGCTCAGCAACATGGACTTTCACTCACTAAGGCTGACCTGGCTATGGACATAGCTGAGTGCCCCATTTGCCAGCAGCAGAGACCAACACTGAGCCCCTGATATGGCACCATTCCTTGGTTCTAGGCAAGATCAGACAGCATATAGGCCACATCCTCATGCCTGTGATAAAAAGATAGAAGTTTCTACTTCAGTCTCTAATTGGCTACAGGCTGGGTCTCCACTTCAGCCCCTGATTGTCCATGGGCCAAGTCTCCACTTCGGCCTCTGATTGGTGGTAAGCCAGTTCTTCACAAGGTGTAACCAATCGGAGGCCTCCAAAGGGCGCCTAGGGGTGTTACCAAAATCTTCTAGCTTAATTAAAAAGCATTGTAACTGGGGCTCTTTAGCCTCTTGCCCAAGCCTGCTTCCACTCCATAGAGTGTACTTTCACTTAAATAAATCTGTGCTTTTATGCTTTTGGCATTGCTTCATTCTTTTGTTGCTTTGTGCATTTTGTATTGCTGTTTGTGCACTTTGCTCAGTTCTTTGTTCAACATGCCAAGAACCTGGACAACTCACAGTTAAGACTTTCCATCTGGTGGAAACCTCTCGGTGTTCAGTCAAGAAGCCATTGGAGGATCACTCAGGAAAGGATCAAGAGTACTGATGTTGTCTGAAGCGTTCCATGGATATCTTGCGGTAGGAGCAAGAATGCACTGAAATTGGTTTAGATACTTGCAGGTGGCTCACACTGTTAAAGAATATCTTTCCTGTCTGGTGCAGTGGCTCACACCTGTAATCCCAGCACTTTGGGAGGCCAAGGCAGGCAGATCACGAGGTGAGAAGTTCGAGACCAGCCTGACCAACATGGTGAAACCCCATCTGTACCAAAAATACGAAAATTATCCAGGTGTAGTGGCACACACCTGTAATCCCAGCTACTCAGGAGGCTGAGGCAGGAGAATTGCTTGAACCTGGGTGTCAGAGGTTGCAGCGAGCTGAGATAGAGCCACTGCACTCCAGCTTGGGTGACAGAGTGAGACAGTCTCAAAAAAAAGAAAAAAAAAGAATGTCTTTCCCCAGTCTGAGCCCAAACCCACCCACCTGGTTTCACCCCTTGGAGACACACAGGCAGACATAACTCTGCTCTCAGCTAAGCCAGAGGTTCTCGACCCAGGCTGCACATTAAAATAAATTATCAAGTTTTTACATCACATGTTCTCACTTATTGGTGGTTGTGGGATCTAAAAATCAAAACAACTGCACTCATGTACACAGAGAGTAGAAGGATGGTCACCACTGGCTGGAAAGGATACTGAGGGCCTGCGAGGGAGGTGGGGTTGGCTAATGGACATACAAAAAAATAGTTACAAAGAACGAATAAGCCCTATTATTTGATAGCACAATGGGTGACTATAATCAATAATTACTTAATTATACATGTAAAAATAACTCAAAAGAGTGTGATTGGATTGTTTGTAACACACAGAATAAATGCTTGAGGGAACGGATACCCCATTCTCCATGATGTGTTTATTTCTCATTGCATGTCTGTATCAAAACATCTCACGAACTGCTCAATATATACACCTACTATGTAGCCACAAAAAATTAAAACAAAAACATTTTTTGAAGTTTTTAATAAAATTAAATTTAAATAAAATAAATTAGTGGGTTTTAAAAAATACTAATACCTGAGTTTCATGCCAAATCAAATGAGAAGCTCTGGGTTGGGCTCAAGCATCTGTATTATTTTAATGTTCCACTCCAGAAATTTCAACTGAACAGTCCAGAGTGCAGCCTGGGCCTTGGGCTCTTTCAGTATTCTTCAGGAGACTCTGTTGTGCAGCCAGAATGAGACTTGCTGAGGAAAGCCTCCCCTGAACACCATAAGGGACCACTGCTTCCTCCTCCACTTCCTAACGTAGTGGGTCTCCACTGCGGCTGCACAGGGGAACCGTATAAAGAACACTGACAAAGCCCAATGCCCAGGCAATACCTAGACCAGTCAATCAGAATTTCTGAGCTCAGACCAGGAATCAGTCACTGTTACTGTTCCCAGAGTGAATGCAATGCACAGCCAAACTGGAACCACCGCCCTAAATCCTGCGGTACTTGATGGAAAACACCTGCCGTCTTGAAGAGGGTCAGTCTGCATCTATTTAAAACACATGGACATCCTATGTTCTACTTCTCAGGATACGTATTTGTGAACCAGCCTAATAGTTTATCTGTATCTACAAGGCCGCGAAACCCTATGTCCCTTTATAATACCCTACACATCACAGGCACCCAATGAAGAATGAACGGATGAACAAATGAACGGAAGGATACATACTTATTTTGTCAGGAACTTTCTAGTCACATGAGTGCCACAACTAAGGTGCCAGTTTCAAAGACAAGGCAGAGATTCAGCATTTTTAAAATCATCACAACGTAATAGGTTACAGATCAGGTAGAGGTCCTGACCTCTAAAGCCACAGGTAGAAACAAAAATAGGATGTTTTACAAAGGCTGAAATTTTTAATTCCAAGGTAGGGCCACAGCTCACAGCTGTCAGCTTTTTCTGTTTCAGTGTATTCAAGAGAGAAACTGTGGTGCCAAAAATTCACTACAGTTCCAATAGCTTAATTACATAGACATAACTTTAAAAAGCAACGCACTGTCCTTGCAGACGATGAAGGGTATAAGCAGAGGAAGCTGAGTTCTTCAGAATTTGTTTATCAACCAAGGGCCACTGTGTGTCACTTTCAAATACTATTTATTCTCCAGAGCCGTTTTTTTCTAGGCCTAGACTCCCACACAAATTTAATAATCTTAAAGTAATCTTTATTTTAATATAGTGCCTAGAGAGCCCCATATCTGATTCAAAAGTAGCTTGAGTCGTGACCAAGGTTGTTCATTTCTTTTAAAGCTACATTTGATGAGAGCAGGACCAGAGAACACATGCACGTACCTGGCGCGTTACTGCGTGTCAAGGCCCATGGCCTGCTCCACGGCTCGAGTGTCCTCTGCTGGCGGTTTGGGCAGATCCAACATGGTGGACGAGGCATCCCTGGGATTCCCAGTAACCAACATCCAGTGGTTACTTGGTTTTTCAACTCTGTGTGAATCCAGGTGCGTGTGAGCTACAACCTCAGCCTCCTTTCCAAAGTAGGTGCTGGAGCAAGAGAGAATCAATTGTGGTTTGAAATTGAGTAACTCTCAGTAAGCTGTTATTAATAACTTCATCTCAAAAGCACCTTAAGAAGTCGATTGCTAGATAAAGCCCTAGGGGATCTCTAAAACGGAACATGTTTGCAGGGAGTTGCACCCTATTTGGGCAAGGATTGGGCCAGTAGGATCCCATTATTGCTAAAGTCCTCTTGTAGGGGAAGGACTTGTATAAAAGAAGGGGCTTCGCTGGGCACGGTGGCTCACACCTGTAATCCCAGCACTTTGGGAGGCCAAGGTGGGAGGATCACCTGAGGTCAGGAGGAGTTCAAGATCAACCTGGCCAACATGGTGAAAACTCATCTCTACTGAAAATACAGAAATTAACTGGGCATAGTAGCAGGCACCTGTAACCCCAGGTACTCAGGAGGCTGAGGCAGGAGAAGCGCTTGAATCCAGGAGGAAAAAGTTGCAGTGAGCTGAGATTGTGCCACTGTACTTCAGCCTGGGTGACAGAGTGAGACTCCATCTCAACAAAAAAAAAAAAGAAGGGACTCTATTAGGATTTTTCACCCTGTCAAAGATCTGTGTGGCAGTATTTCATAGCAAAGGACTTTTTTGCATGTGCAGCCATCCACTGTCAATTGAGCCTCTTTGCTTATATTCACAGCCCCCAGCCCCAGTCACAGCATTCTGTGGTACACTGAAATACAACACCTTAAGAAAAGATGCCGGTGGACTGCCAGTCCCCGATTTGTGTGACAGTGATTGATGAGAATTTTAGCATTGGCCTGTAACAGATAAAGACAATGTGTTACTAGCATTCTAAATAAAGGCCTCTACGTTCCTAAAGGCAAAAATTTGGAATCATACATGTATTTCAATTTAGTAGAACAACATTATATATATTTACAGTCATATGCCACCACATTTCAGTTAGCAAAGGACCGCCTATGTAACCACATATATGACCATAAGACCCTATTTTTACTGTACCTTTTCTGTGTTTAGATGCACAAATACTTACCACTGTGTTACAGTTACCTATAGCATTCAGTATAGTAACACAGTTTGTAGCGCAGGTTTGTAGCGCAGGAACACTAGTGGCCTAGGTGTGTAATAGGCTATGCCATCTAGGTTTGTGTAAGTACATTTATGATGTGTAAGTTGAATAAAATTGTTGAGGCAAGTCTCCATCATTGTGAGAGGTTTATTTGCTGAGGTCAAGGACACACCTAGCAAAAAGAACACAGACCAATAGGAATAACTTTTGGTCCATGCTTTTTCCTAAAGAGGGCCTGGGGACCTGAATATTTAAAGGGAAAAGATTGGGTACTAGGGGAATGAGGAATAAAGAAAAAACAATAATGACCAAAAAAAGGAGGGTAAATAAAAAAGGCAAGCAGTTGCATTCTTTTGAGTTTTCTGTCAGTGTTCACCAAACACACATTTTACATGAGAGGGCAGTAGAGGAAGAGTCACTTACGCATTCATCTTGTGCTCAGTGAACCTGCATTTTCACATGAGACGAAATAAACACGGGGCAGAGGGAAAGTTCATAAATGCCTTTGTTTCAAGTGAGCGGAGGGATGACTTTTTAGTTCTGTCCTTTGTCCCTTACTGTGAAGATAAGCTATCACTTTATATGGTCAGTGTGACAGTCCACATCACTGTTTTAGGGTAAAAATCTTGGGGCTCACAAGGAATTTCCTTGTGGGAAAATTTTGAGGGATATATGTAGCTTTAAAAAAAATCTTTGTAGCTATCCTACTTAAGAGCAAAATGGGAGGCCGGTTTGCGTGACCCCATTCCCAGCCTGACTTTTTCTTTGATGGAGTGAGTTTAGATCCCACGATTGATTTTCCTTTCACAATGTCCACACGATGACAAAATCATTGCCAGGGTGACCACGACTGTCTAATGCATTTCTCAGAATGTATCCCCATTGTTAAATGACACATGATTGTAGATATATTCATATACACGCAAAGAAAAATTTAGAAGGCAAACCATAATGGATGAATTAAATACATTATTGTAGATAACTGTATAATGAAATAATCACTCAAAGTTATATTGGAGAAGATCTTTGACACACAAGATAGAGTCAATGGTGTCATTCAACAGAAAAAAAAAAAGAAGTATCTTCATGTCCTATCTTGTAAAAGGAAATAAGCAATGGCTTCTCTGGAAAACAGAACTACTGGTAATTTTCATATTATTTTTGTGCTTTCCTGGCTTTTCATAAGTGAACATATGCTTATAATCAGGAAAAATATGACTCATGTAAGTTAAAAGCTGTATAAGAAAGAAAAAGCAGCCCTGCCAGCCAGGGGGTGGCCTGGCACACACAGGAGGCCTTAGTGTTCTCCTGGGAGCAGAATCAGCTTCACAGAATGTCCACATCAGACAAGGCCACTCTGTGATCATGGGGGGTCAAAACAAAAATGAGATCACTCTATAATCATATCTGAACACACACAAAACACAAACATTGACTAAGCCACAAAATAGCAAACACCCGCCTCTCCCAGCTAATATGAGTGACTGCTGCTCCTTTATTCACAAGTTTTATCCTCACTCTAGTTTCGTCCTCCCTAGAGATAAGATTTATTGAGATAATCAATCAGAGAATTACCCTCCACTTCCTGATAGCATCCAATCCAGAGCAAAGCCTCACGTCTTACGATTCTCTCCAATACCAGCCAACCAAGGCCCAAATTCTATAAGCATCTCAACACCCTCTTACACGCTTCCCCACAGTGTGTGTTCTCCCTCACTGCAACAGGTAATCTACCCAGCCTGTTAAAGCACAGTTGTTCCTGGAGGTCTCTCTAGCCAGAGGTCATTGAAGTGTAAGGGAGCTCAGATAGGTTTGGGGTTCCCCATTTGCAGATGTGTAACCATGTCTCATTGAGGCTCAGGGAGACTTTACTCAAGCTATACGGTGAATTAGTAATGGATAGAAGAACTCGGCTGGGCACAGAGGCTCAAGCCTGTAATCCTAGCAGTTTGGGAGGCCGAGGCGGGTGGATCATGAGGTCAAGAGATGGAGACCATCCTGATCAACATGGTGAAACCCCGTCTCTACTAAAAATACAAAAATTAGCTGGGCATGGTGGCACACACCTGTAGTCCCCGCTACTTGGGAGGCTGAGGCAGGAAATTGCTTGAACCCGGGAGGCGGAGGTTGCAGTGAGCAGATATAGTGCCATTGCACTCCAGCCTTAGTAACAAGAGTGAAACTTCATCTCAAAAAAAAAAAAAATACAAAAATTAGCTGGGCATGGTGGCATGCCCTGTAGTCCCAGGTACTCGGGAGGCTGAGGCAGGAGAATTGCTTGAACCCAGGAGGTGGAAGTTGTAGTGAGCCGAGATTGTGCCACTGCACTCCAGCCTGGCGCCTGGCAACAAAGTGACACTCTGTCTCAAAAAAAAAAAAAAAAAAAAGAACTCCTGGTGCCTGGAACACTGACTGATCTGTTAACCTCTAACACAAACAGCAACAATAGCAATATAACAAACAGTCGTGACAAGAAACACTTGTGGGTGTCTTCTATCAGCCAGGCATGTTTCTAATTAGCACTCTAAAATATTCTAACCATTTAGTCTTCACAAAACCTCATGAGGTAGGTACTATGAGCACCCCGAATTTAGATGGGGAAACTGAGGCACTGACAGTTTAAACTGTGGAACTAGAAGGCAATTCTCAGAAGAGCAAAACTTAGCAATGGACAGCTAAAGAGAAGAATTTGTAAAGCCTGTTTCATTGTAGATAATATACATGTCCTCCATGCTTGGAGGAAGAACCCTATGAAGTCAGGGTCCCCCTGCCAGAGGTGGGGGACAGGCATGCTGCATCACGTGGACTCAGTGGTCTGCAACTGTGGGCACTTCCTGGCCAGTAGCAAGCGAACGCTGGCAATGCCTGCTAATTTGATACTTAACGCAGTGGCTGCCAACACGTCTTCATTCTGTCTGCTGGATGCCTTGTGGGCAGGAAAGCCTCTGGCCGTTGGAATAGGTCTACTCTGTTCCCACAAAACCCCTACCTTCCCATCAGAACCATGCCTCAGGCTCAGGTCCCATGGGTCCCAGCATCAAGAGAAAATGTCCCACGGTGAAAGAGAGAATGATGCTGTCCTGCAGGACCACTGCGTGGACTGCGTAGCTACCCTGCTGTCTCCTTCTCCAAGACTCCCCAACTCTTTTTTTTGACAGGGTCTCACTGTTGATCAGGCTGGAGTGCAATGGCATGATCACAGCTCATAGCAGCCTCGGCCCCTCAAGTGGCTAGGACTACAGCACTCACCAACACACCTGGCTAATATTTCTCTATTGATTTATGTAGAGACAGAGTCTCACTCTGTCTCCCAGGCTGGAGTGCAATGGTACAATCTTGGCGCACTGCAACCTCCACCTCCTGGGCTGAAGCGATTCTTGTGCCTCAGCCACCTGAGTAGCTTGGATCACAGGTGAGTGCCACCATGCCTGGCTAATTTTTGTATTTTTGTAGAGACAGGAATTTTGCCATGTTGCCCAGGCTGGTCCTGAACTGCTGGCCTCAAGAGACCCACCTGCCTTAGCCTCCCAAAGTGCTGGGACTGTAGGCCTGAGCCACCACACCTGTCCTCAAACTCCTTAAAAATTAGTATTTAGCAGAGGTCTTAGCGAAAACAGTGCAAAGAAAGCAATGTTACAACCCTTGGGATCACACATCAGTGGTTCTTAACCTGATGTCAGGCACAGGGCCAGGGCCTCAGTATTTTTTAGAAAGCTCCTGAGGTGATTCTAATGTGCAGCCAGAGTCGAGAAACTCTAATGCAGGATGCTGCCATGGGTTAAATTAGTACCTTCCAAACTTGTGTTATAAATGAGGGGAATAAAAAATACTGAAAAGAGGGAGAAAGTCTTACGGCATTTGAGCTCTAAGTCTGTGTTTTCTAGACAGCAGTAAATTGCATCCAGTTCATAGCACAGGCACCCATGTCTTCTCAACGCTGCACTCACCGGTACGGGGAAGCCTTCATATTCCAGGCGTAGCTGGGGGTCAGGGAAGGCAGCCTGCCAGCAATTCATGTGAGAGACCTCATCTGTTAGGTACACTTCCTGGAGCAAAGACCTCTTAGATGATTTCAGGAGGGTCCTGTGGTCACTTGATAAATACAACTGAAAATGACAGCAAGCAGATGCACTAAGTCAGAGTTCTGTGAAAAGCTGGGGAAGAAAGAAGCAACTGACTGGCTGGATGGCAAGCACATTCAAAGCAGATCTCAAAAACGCTGTTCTTACTGATTGTATGAGAAAGCACAATTTTCCTCTACCTTAGAAATGCCATCTGTTATACTGAGACCAAGACACACACACACACACACACACACACACACTCACACACACACACACACACAATCACACACACAATGACACATATTCTCACACACATACACACAATGATCACACATACAATCATACACACACGATCACACATACACACAATCACACACACACAATCATACACACACAATCACACAAATACACAATCACACCATACACAACCACACACACAATCACACACATACACAATCACACACAAACACAATCATACACATACACACCATCACACACAATCACACACACGCAATCACAATCATACACATACATACACACAATCACACACATACACACACATCTCCAACTATTTTTTCTTCCTCTGAATACCAAACTCAATCTTCCTCTCTCCTTCCTACTTCCTGTCCCCTGTTCCCCTTTCAGGGTATAGGAACTGGATCAATGGGTTTTTTGTCTTGTTTTGTTTTTGTTTTGAGACAGGGTCTCATTTTGTTGCCCAGGATGGAGCACGGTGGCAATCACAGTTCACTGCAGCCTCCAACTCCTGGGCTCAAGCAATCCTCCCACCTCCCAAGTAGCTGGGGCTGCAGGTGCATACTGCCATGACTGTTTTTTATTTTTTGTAGAGATAGGATCCCATTGTTTCCCAAGCTGGTCTTGAACTCCTGGGCTCAAGTCATCCCCCCACCTTGGCCTCCCAAAGTGCTGGGTTTACAGGGGTGAATGACCATGCCCAGCCATGGACTAATATTTTATGTATTATAAATGATGTTGCATCAAACTCATCGCATGAAATGAATTATTCTTTCAAGTCAATATCCTCACAGCTGATATTCATTTGTGAGCTTCCAAGGTGACCCACACCCCTCTGGAATTGATGTCCATTCTAGGAAATCATGTTGGCTATCTGGCCGCCTGTCACCTTGCCAAGAAACTACACCCATCCTGCTGAAAAGTCCACAATGTTACTTCCTTGTTCTTTGCTGGTTCAGCTCCACTCTGAGTGTGGAGGTAGTTTCTGCATATTTTGACAGGTTTCCAATAAGCACCTTTCCAATGCAAGCTGTGCTGTGAGCACTAGGGGGAAGGCAGAGATGTTACTGTCCTCAAGAGGTTCTCCACCTAGCAGAAGAGGTGGCAGAGCACAAAAACCGGAAGCACCTACATACACCTGCCATGTGAGGAAGGTCCAGCAGACTCACAATGAGCTGGGGGAGGCAGAGGTAGGAGCACAGTGCTTTCCTGGGGGATCAAGAGAGGCTCTGAGGAGGAGGCTGCAAAGCCAGAGGGGGTGAGCACAGAGAGGGTGAGGGTGTATTACAGAGGGCCTCAAATGCCACAGCGAACAGCCAGAACTTCATTCAAAGGGCAATGGGGAGCCACTACTGACTCCAGTGAGGATGAGAAGTGACTAGACCTGTGTTTATAAAAGATCAACCTGAAAAATAAATAAATAAATTTTAAAATAAAAATAAAATCAACCTCGCAGTACCCCATCTAGTATGGTCTGAATTCAGGACAGACTAACAGGGAAAAACAGGGGGGCCTGGGCTGCTAAGGGGCTTCTCTGGGCATGAGAAATAGGCTAAAGAGCAGTATGAAGGGAGAACAGTGCCTAGGAACAGAAGAAGGGACCTGGCAATCAGCTGGACGTGAGTAGGAAAGGAAGATGGGCCCAAGCCAGATTCACCACTGGTTCTGGATGATGGTGCCTTTCAGAGCAACATGAAAACTGGAACTTAAAAAGGAGAATAAGGCCAGGTGCAGTGGCTTATGCCTGTAATCCCAGCACTTTGGGAGGCCAAGGCAGGAGCATCACTTGAGGTCAGGATTTCAAGATCAGTCTAGACAATATGGTGAAATGCTGTCTCTACTAAAAATATAAAAATTAGCCAAGTGTGGTGGTGGGCGACCGTAATCCCAGCTATGCAGGAGGCTGAGGCAGGAGAATTGCTTGAACCTGGGAGGCAGAGGCAGAGGCTACACAGAGTCAGTCAAGATCACGTAACTGCACTCCAGCCTGGGCAACGGAGCGAGTCTCTGACTCTTCAAAAAGAAAAAAAAAAAAAAGAGGTAGATGATATCTGTCTCAAACCACAAACTGCTTTGTTCACCTAAAGGAAAACAATAATAAAATCAGGAACTAACCCATTAGGCCACTATTTCACCAATGCTTCCATGAATGCCCCAGAAGTGCTTGCTAACTCGAAGACAAGAAACCAAAATTAGAGGTCTAAGAATGTGAGAAGAGAGAAAATGTCTAAGAATGTGAGAAGAGAGAAAATGTCATCATTTGAAGATTAAATCACTGTCTGGCTAGAAAACATAAGAGAATCAACTGAAAAAACTATAGAATTAATAAGAGTAAGTGGTTTCATCAGAGTGAATATAAAAATCAATAGCCTTCTTATATTTTAGAAGAGAAATTATTCTTTATACTATCAAATGTTCTATCTTTATTCTATCAAAAAGACCTCTCTATGATAGCATCTGAAAATACAAAATACCAAGGAAAAACCCTTAACAAAATTGTTGTCAAATACATGTAAAGAAAACCACAAGGGCCAGGTGCGGTGGCTCACGCCTGTAATCCCAGCACTTTGGGAGGCCGAGGCGGGTGGATCACGAGGTCAAGAGATCGAGACCATCCTGGTCAACATGGTGAAACCCCGTCTCTACTAAAAATACAAAAAAAAATTAGCTGGGCATGGTGGCGCGTGCCTGTAATCCCAACTACTCAGGAGGCTGAGGCAGGAGAATTGCCTGAACCCAGGAGGTAGAGGTTGTGGTGAGCCGAGATCGTGCCATTGCAGTCCAGCCTGGGTAACAAGAGCGAAACTCCGTCTCAAAAAAAAAAGGTAGATTCATACTCACCATCTTATAGATAAGAAACAGACTCAAAAAACATTCAATAACTTACCCAAATTCCCATCCCATCGGTACACACCTGAAATTCAAACCCAAATCTATCTGGTTCTATTAGCCTTCCTAATTCCCAAGGCTCCCTGATTTATGCAAATTTAAGCATCTTATATTGTCCTTACTCCCATATTGGGCAAAAATCTGGTCATCAGAAGTTTAAATTAAAAAGTCGTCAGTTAATATGCCTTGCTGGCATCGGTGACATTTGACAGGTGTCAGATGATTATTAATGAATTCAATCATTTAACTGACAGGTGGAAGTGGTATAAACTTTTGCTTTTTGCCAGCTACACTGTGAAATGGTTTTCCTCCCTTACTCTTTAGCTTTTAGGGGTGTATTTTTTGTAATTTGGGAAGTTAAAAGGAAAGACTGGCTTGGCCCAAATCTGCCTGTTGAAAGCTGCAAACTGAAACCACAGTGAAGTCAGAGATGGAGCCCATGTATCTGGAGTTCTCTGTCCACATCATTCGATAGTTATGATCCCATTTGGGGCAAGAGAAATGACTGATCCAAAGGAGATAGGCAAAGTGATAACTTACCATTTTGTTTTCAAATCCTCCTGTTATCCCCAGGCTAAAGTCCTGCCCATATCTGAGGACTTGACCAGTGGCATCTCTGTGTATGCTGTCAGTGGACAATAAATATAATGCAAATGTGAACTCTCGGTATTAGAATCATTTTATGACTCTATTTTTTAAGCATGCAATTTTGTTTATAATCAGTTTTTTCGATGATTTATATTCACATACTGTAACTGAATTAAATAATTAAATAAAAGGTCTTTTCTTTTGGTGTTAAAATCCAATTAGTACCCTATTCCCTGCCCTGTACCATAGCTAGCACACAAAGCCTCCCCACTTTGTGAGCCTCTGGTTAAGCTAAGCACGTCATGCTAATGTACACTAAAGAATTCTGGTCGAGTGCATTGGCATCTTCAGAGAGAACCAAGGTAACACATTTGTAGACATTTAATACAATTCCCTCTTAATCCTTCAGGAAACAGACATTGTGATCAATTTTTAGTTGTCTTAACATATATATTCAAAAGAAATCTAAATTAGAACTTGAAGAACTGTCTAAATAACCTCTTTTTTCCCCAGGGTGGAATTCAGTGGTGCAATCTCGGCTCACTGCAACGTCCACCTCCCAGGTTCGAGTGATTCTCATGCTTCAGTGACACGAATAGCTGGGATTACAGGCACCTGCCACTATGACAGGCTCATTTTTTGTATTCTTAATAGAGACAGGGTTTCAACATATTGGCTAGCTGGTCTCAAACTCCGCCCACCTTGGCTTCCCAAAGTGTTGGGATTACAAGTGTGAGCCACTGCACCTGGCCCGGGTCTATATATTCTTGCAATGCTTACATTGCTGTTCTACAAAATTAATAGTTCTACAAACAAAAACTAATAGTTTTTGTTTTGTTTTGTTTTATCACTACACACCTGTAATCCCAGGATTACAGGAGGCTGAGGCAGGAGAATCCCTTCTCTTATTATTATACTTTAAGTTCTGAGGTACATGTGCAGATCGTGCAGGTTTGTTACATAGGTATACACATGCCTTGGTGATTTGCTGCATCCATCCCCCCTCCCCGCCCCCGCCATCTACATTAGGTATTTCTCCAAATGTTATCCCTCCCCAATTGCCCCACCCTCCTACTATCCCTCCCCCAGCCCTCCCACCCCCCCGCCCCGCCCCGCCCCGCCCTGGTGTGTGATCATGTGTCTCTTACTTCTCTAAGGATTTAATTGTTCATCTTCAAAATCTCTTCAAGCACATTTTTTTTTTTTTTTTTGAAACGGAGTTTCGCTCTTGTTACCCAGGCTGGAGTGCAATGGAGCGATCTCGACTCACTGCAACCTCCGCCTCCTGGGTTCAGGCAATTCTCCCGCCTCAGCCTCCTGAGTAGCTGGGATTACAGGCACGCACCACTGTGCCCAGCTAATTTTTTGTATTTTTAGTAGAGATGGGGTTTCACCATGTTGACCAGGATGGTCTCGATCTCTTGACCTCGTGATCCACCCGCCTCGGCCTCCCAAAGTGATGGGATTACAGGCATGAGCCACCACGCCCAGCCTCTTCAAGCACATTTTTAATGAACAGCTAATTTTAAAAGAGCAAATCCCATTTAGTGCTACTTTGTATTAAATTATATATTTTTGTTGTAAAAAATAACATAGTCATATTAAGAACAATGAAGACACTCATATGTCTCAAAGAGTTTGAAAATGTTATAGGGAAAACCCACTTTGCTTCTAGGCAGAATATGGATTTAATTCCCTGGATCCAATACTTATGATTTAAGCATTTTGAATTGAACACAATTATCCTGCTGTCTAAGGTAAAAAGGGATTGTAAAGTTCCCTTAACAATAATTCTCGAGGTAATCAAAGCAAGATGCAAATCACAGAAAATCTTCACAAAACCTTTCCCTCCAGTCAGCGGCTCCAATACCCAGGTATCTTTAAGCTACAAGGAAACATATTTATGATGAAAATTAAAGTCTCTTTACCTCAAAATGATAAAAATGTTTCTACCAATCGGAGTCTTGGCTTGAACGGCACTCAGGCCACAGGGCACCTCTAACTCATCCCTCAGATGGCACTGAATTTCATCTGGAGTCATACACAGGCTCAGGTCCCCACCCAGAAACATATCAGCTTCTACATCAGGATCATCAGGATTCACAAGCATCACTTTGTCACCATAATGAATATAACCATCTTCAGTTATGGAAAGCTGCATCTACAATTTTAATAGTAGTTTACTACATAAGCCATGCATTTCCTCAACAGTCACTGCTAAGGCAATTTTATTCCTTCTCAGACTAGTATCCATTTCTCTCAGGATTTCATTTGGATCCCTTCTTCTTCCTTTCCTTTCCCCTTTACCAAGGCAAAGCTCCCAATAATCACTAATGAAGTCAAACGAAGCTGGTGAAAATCACAAGGATTTACTCATTATTCTAGAAGTGAACATTCACTGAAAAATTTCGCAATTGCCAACTAAGGGGCATTTTACTTATTTATATATTAACTCATTTATTTCTTTATTTGCAAAATGCAGGTAAACATGATTTAGGGCAGACTTCCCTTATGTTTCTAAAATCTTGGATTCAAAACACTGCAAATTTTATTTTTAAAACTGTTATTTTCCAAATGGTAACTCAGTTATGAATATTTTTTCTTGCTTAACATATACTCACACCAGGTTCAACAGAATTTTGAAAACAATGTTTGAATTTAAAGATACCGGTCTCAAAAGATTCTTTTTTAGTCTTCTACTTCTCTGTATGAGGAGTTTCCCCTTGTCTCTCTTCTCTAAGAAGTCTTTCATGAGCTCCTAGTTAAAGAGAAAATCAACAACAGTAGCCCTAAATAATACAGATGTTCCTATTAATAACTTTTAGATCAGAAGCTCTTCCAAGTTGGAAAAGCAAAATTTGAGGAGAAAAAAACTAATGTGAGCATAATGGGAATGATGAGAACATATTTAGCATTACTTTAACGTTTTTACTACATTATAGAATGTTTAGAAAAATGAGAAAGACAAAACAAAGAAAAAGAATCATCACCAGGAATTACTCCAGCCCGATTCCATCCTGAGTGACATTTGGAGCCCGTGTCACCCCTGCTGAGGTTTCCCTTGACTGTGTGATGACTAATACTAGAAAGTCCACCCCTCCACAACCTGACCCATACGCGAATGGCTCAGAACCTTGCTAAGGCTACCTTGGGAGAACACAAGGCAGTGAGTGCAACGTCAGTAAAACGAATGCTCAGGGTCATTTAAGACGGCAAGCGGCAGGGTTGGAGTGCGGAGGATATTATTTCTACCTAGGGCCTGTGTCCTCACCTGGCCCGCAGCCTGAGACTGTAAGACTCTAAAAAACAGTGGGGGCCGGGCGCGGTGGCTCAAGCCTGTAATCCAGCACTTTGGGAGGCTGAGGCGGTGGATCACCTGAGGTCGAGAGTTCGAGGCCAACCTGACCAACATGGAGAAACCCCGACTCTACTTAAAATACAAAAATTAGCCGGGTATGGTGGCGCGTATCTGTAATCCCAGCTACTCAGGAGGCTGAGGCAGGAGAATCGCTGGAACCGAGAGGCAGAGGTTGCGGTGAGCCAAGGTGGTGCCACTGCACCCCAGCCTGGGCCGAGATGGCTCCATTGCACCCCAGCCTGGGCAACAAGAGCGAGACTCCATCTCAAAAACAAAAACAAAACCAGGGAGTACTTCGTGGGGCTCTAGACTAAGCGGGATGCACAGGCCAGGGGCCTGAGAGTCAAGGCGCCCGACTCTAGGAGGCCAAGGAACCACAGAAAGAGAAGTCAGGGTGCTCGGCGTGGAGGCCAGTGAGCCCTGGGCTTGCACTGGTGCGGGTGAGATTCCGCGAGAGTTTAGAGAAGGGGGGATTTCAGAGGTATTCACGGTGTGCTGGGTGAGAGGAGGCTGGAGGCGCTCACAGCAGGGTACTGAACTTGGGGCCGGGTCTGGAGCTCCTGAGCCGCAGGTGCGCGCCTGGCCACACCCTCCATACCTCCTCCAGGTAGGCGTCCTCGTTCCAGTTGCCCATCCGGACTCCGGGACCGTACCTGTTCTGAGCCATCGCGCCCCGCTGTTCAGCCAGCGCGCCTCCCTCCGCGCCTAGCGTTAGCGTGCCCCGTCGCCATAACGACCCGGCCCCGGACGATTGGTCAAGGTCCGGGCCCTACTGGCCAATAAGTGACAGCGCTCAGCCTCGCCCAGGGCGGGAGAGGCGGCGTCAGGGTCCGCGGCTGCGTGCAGCGCTCCAGCCCACCGCATTAGAGCAGGAGCGAGGGAAAACCCTGGCTGGCAAAGGGCTTCGAGAGGGAAATTTAAAACCTTTTTTTGGTTGTTGAGACGGAGTCTTGCTCTTCTCTGTCGCCCAGGCTGGAGGGCAGTGGCGCGATCTTGGCTCACTGCAACCTCTGCCTCCCAGGTTCAAGCAATTCTCATGGCCTAGCCTCCCAGGTAGCTGGGATTACAGGTGCCCGGCACCACGCCCGGCTAATTTTTGTATTTTTAGTAGAGACGAGGGTTCACCATTTTGGCCAGGCTGGCTTCGAACTCCTGACCTCGTGATCCACCCACCTGGGATTGCAGGCGTGAGCCACTTTTTATTAGAATCTAACCAAAAAGTGCCATCGAGTACCCCTTGTTTGCCGAGGCAGCAAAGAAGAGCTTTTAAATGGAAGCACAGCTTGTTTGCAGCCTAGTTTTTACAATCATCATCAGCAGCAGCAGTAATTTCGCCCTAATCATAAAACAATGCCTGCTTAATGCAGACATTTGGAAACCAAAATCGCATAGAAAGAAGGGAAAATTAAAAAGGTCAGGGCTTCAAAAGTGAGAAATACACCATGTTAGTATATTTCCGTTTATAGGTTTCTGAGGTTGTCCATATTTTTGTGGACTTAATAGCATTTTTCCCTCCCTCGATCCCTTCCTCCCTCCCTCTCTCGGTCTCAAAGTGAAAGGACAAGCCTGTGATTTGCCGGAACTCTTAATAAAAGCATACTCTACTGCAGCCAGCATTTTTTAAACAAAATATTATTTTATAGAGAGGAGGGATAACAGTTACTAAGACTACGAGGGGCTTGATGCTGATTGAATGCATTCTGTAATTTACCTGTATTTAGTGTCTGGTAAGACAGGACTGAAATGGAAGACAGGAGTCTTCGCTCCCTTCAGCAAAGCCAGTCTAAAAGAAAAGGTAGTTCATGAAAATTAATTACTTCAGGAAGACTGTGAAAAGTGCAATTAAAGATGTGCTGATGGGCTGGTGTGGTGGCTCAAGCCTATAATCCAGCACTTTGGGAAGTGGAGGCAGGAGGATCACTTGAGCCCAGGAGTTCTAGACCAGCCTGGGCAACGTAGTGAGACCCCATCTCCATTTAAAATATATGTATATATTAAAACATACATATATGCTGATGAAGGGTGATGGAGTTGAAGGATCCTTTCTGCCTTGAGGAACTCTGAGAATGAGAATTGGATGGCCTTGAGTGGTGGGAGAGGGGCTGCTTTGGAGCTGAACTGGAAAAGATTTAAACTGGCAGGCTGAAGTGTGGAATAAAAATAGGAGCATTCCCACATACTGGTGAATCCACCAGTTCTGTCAATACGTCACCACATTTGAGGATATTTCTGAAGGATACATAGGACAAAGCAGTTAGGTCAGATAGTACACCGCTAACTACATTTGATAAATTCAGAAACAGATGCAAAGAAGCTAGCAGTCTAAATTCAAACTTCAAAAAGTTGCTCAAAGAAAGGACTCAACCCAGACTTTCTGACTCCAAAGTTATGTTTGTTTTTCCTTTTAAGTATTGTCATACTCCCCATAAAATCAAAAATAAAACAAGGAAGCTCTAGTCTCTACTTTTCTTTTTGAGACAGAGTGTTGCTCTGTCACCCAGGCTGGAGTGCGGTGGTGTGATCTCAACTCACTGTAACCTCCGCTTCCCAGGTTCAAGCAATTCTCCTTCCTCAGCCTCCTGAGAAGCTGGGATTACAGGTGCACACCACCACCTCTGGCTAATTTTTGTATTTTTAGTCAAGACCAGGTTTCACCATGTTGGCCAGGATGGTCTCAATCTCCTGACCTCATGATCCACCTGCCTTGGCCTCCCAAAGTGCTGGGATTACAGGTGTGAGCCACCACACCCAGCCAAGAAATACATTTTTAAGTCCATAGCTGCCAAAGAGTGATTTCTCTGACAAATCCGGGTGAAGTGAATTGAAAACTTTCTGGAAAGGATTTGCCATTCTAGATGCCATTAAGAACATTTGTGATTCATGGGAGGAGGTCAAAATAACAATATTAATGAGAGTTTGGAAGAAATTGATTTCAACCCTCATGGGTGACTTTGAGGGGTTTAATATTTTAATGGAGGAAGTAATTGCGGATGTCATAATACAAAAAATTAGCCAGGCATGGTGGTGCATGCCTGTAATCCCAGCTACTTGGGAGGCTGAGGTAGGAGAATTGCTTGAACCCAGGAAGGGGAGGTTGCGGTGAGCTGAGATCACACCATTGTGCTCCAGCTGGGGCAATGAGCAAAACTCCGTCTAAAAAAAAATGGAGCCTGAAGATGTGACAGAGTTGCTGCAGTCTTGAGGAGGAGTTGCTGCTTATGGATGAACAAATAAAGTGGTTTCCTGAAGTGGGATCTACTCCTGGTGAAGATACTATGAATATTGTTGAAATGACAACAAAGGATTTAGACTATTACATAAACTAATTTGATAAGGCAGCAACAGGGTTTGAGAGGATTGATGCCAATTTTGGAAGATGTTCTGCTGTGGGTGAAATGCTATCAAATATCATCACATGCTACAGAGAAACTTTTCATGTATGAAAATTGTCAGAATTAAAACAGTCAGTAATGTTAAGAAAATGCTGATAAATAGAGCTGGGAAAGGCCATAAAGAGAGGGTTCTCACATGTTTATGCCCTATAACAAAAAAGATTCTACAAAAACCATAGCCTTACATGAAAGTCATTACCATCTTATACAAAAAATACTTCTACAAGGCCGTCTACCAACAATTGCCTATCCAACTTTGGATTGGTGTCACCTTGTTATTGATCTTTGTAACCAAGGAAAATTTCTTAAAATAACTATGTACCCTAATTTTTTCCCTTAAAAACCTTTATATTCTCTACCTCTCTGAATACACACATAGTTTACTATGGTGAGCATAGTCCCATTGCAATACTCTATCCCCAAATAAGTATCTTTTCTTTTAGAGAGCCTCTCTCTATGTGTTATTCAGGGTGACATATATGGTGTCAAAAGTGGGATCTGAAAAAGATCACTGCTGAGAAAAATCAGTGATTCTTGGAACCAGTGTGTGATACTCACTTCAGCCCTTTGAGCTCTCTGCTTTCATGGCTCGCCTTGTCTGTCCTGGTGAGTTTTCTCTCAGGTTGAGCCTCTCTTCTTTTGGTAGAGGCTTTTAAAAATATTATTTGGATATGGTTTCAGATAAGGCCATCTTAATAAAAAACATACATCATTCCTGGAATAAAAAAATACTTTTGATCTTTTCTGGTATGTCCTTTCTGGTATAAAGACAAATGTCTTTCTGGATTGGGTACCCTTGGTTTCCACAGAATTTACATTCTGTCTGTGAGGCATATCTTCTGGTGAATTTATTCTTGGTCTAGGTTGCATACTTAGTTTAATATCTGGGGTTTCTTGCTTTTGTTTGACCTTTTCCCTTACTTGTTTCTGAAAAATCTTCTGAGAGTAAAAATAAACATTCTGGATGGTGGGTGCAGGACAGCTAATTAAAAGCCACAGGGCAATTACCATCATCTAAAACACTGACCTAAATTCCTAATGTTCCCTGACATGATTTTGGGATTTTCTTTGCTCTTGAGAGATTAATAAGAAACAGAATGGGATTCACAAACATTCAGGCATGCCAGGTTTTCTGGGACTCCAGCCAGCTACATACGATGGCCTGTTCTTTTGTACATTTTCAAACTGATAGACAAATTACATCAAGGAAAATTCAGAGTTCAAATGGTCATTATTCAAAAAAACTGCAACTATAGAGTTAAAATGGACAGTCTTACAAGTTCTCTATCTCTCTATTTTTTTTCTACCTACTTTGAATTTGCTGACTTTTCTACTGGTGTTAAGATAAAACTCACCACTTATGGCATTCAAGCTAAGATCTTTGAAAGTCTTCAAGAACTTTCAAATTAATGATTTTGCAAATTTTAATAGCTCCATGGTAACCAACAATCCTGATACCTTTTAGCAATATAAAATAGATTTGCCTAACAATTGTGTACAATGACAAAATAACTACCTGAGAAGTTAACACTCTAAAATAAAAAGAAATAAATATTTCTAAAAATTAGGCTCTCAGATCAAACAGGTCAAAATCTTGAGCTCAGAGCAATAATGTAAGGTATCTTTATCCAGCATAAAAATTTTATTTTTTGACCACACTGAGGCTGAAAGGAAAAATTCAAATTCCAAGAGACTGTGATGCCACATGCTGCATTTAACCCAATTTTATTCATTCTTGACTTGGGATGGGGAATAGATCATTCAGTAAAAATATACAGTAAAAACAAAATGTTTGATCATATACAACTTTTAAACTACAATAATGATGTACCTTAATTACTTCCATGCACAGAAGTCTAACGTTTGTTGTATTTTTTTTTTTTTTTTTTTTTTAAAAACAAGACCCCAGCACTTTGGGAGGCCGAGACCGGTGGATCACGAGGTCGAGAGATCGAGACCATCCTGGTCAACATGGTGAAACCCCGTCTCTACTAAAAATACAAAAAATTAGCTGGGCACGGTGGTGCGTGCTGTAATCCCAGCTACTCGGGAGGCTGAGGCAGGAGAATTGCCTGAACCCAGGAGGCGGAGGTTGCGGTGAGCCGAGATCGCGCCATTGCACTCCAGCCTGGGTAACAAGAGCGAAACTCCGTCTCAAAAAAAAAAAAAAAAAACCACAAGACTTCTAGGAATGTTTTATAATAAAGTAATTCCTAATTAATTTTTCTTTGTAGATAGATCAAGTACCTTCAAAATACAAATTCCTATACACAGTAAGCATGTTACTTAAAACAAACACTTCAGTAAATTAAGTACATGGACAGCCTTGGTATAAGCCAACATTATATATTCGGCTAGGTAGGCAACAAACCGTAGTGCCAAATGGAAAAAGTGTATTCACAAATAAATTTTAAAAACTAAGTTAATTTTTATAATTAAA